GTCAGAGGAATGTTTGGTGCACGATTTCTCTGAACATAGAATCGGAGGCTTCAAACTCTACACTGTAACTTATCACATAAGGAAGTGATTTATAAAGAGTCAGTCTAGAGAACGTTCCACCTCAGCACTATCAAATTTTCCAGGTGTTTTTCCCTGTCTTGCAACTTAACTAAAGATTATTTTTCCAAGTAGTTCCAGCTTCAAAAAATTGTGCACTTCTACAGAGCACCAAATGCCACCAAATTTATAAGTGGCCCACATTGAGTTGTCAGTGGCATAGTTGATGTTTGGTTGAAGTCAAGAAGATGTGACCCAGGAAATCACTGTGACTGTGAAGGGTTTTGAAGCCTTCACTGGTTAGGAGAAGAGCTTGTATCATGCCAGCTTTTGCAACTTCAGGAGTGTGTGTGTGTGTGATTGTTGAACAAAGACCACATGTGTGTGTGTGTGTGTTTTCCTTTTATTAAGAAGTTTGGCATTAATACAGTAAAATAATGAATATGATTCAACATCGTTTTGTTTTCCATCATTCCAGTATATGACAAAAATTATCCAAATGCCGACCCCTTAATTTCCTAATTGTCTACTTTCCCCATCTCATACAAAAATATTCTAGTTTTGTCACTAGTACTTCATCCACGCACACACACACACACACACAGAGAGAGAGAGAGAGAGAGAGAGAGAGAGAGAGAGAGAGAGAGATTAAAACTAGGAGAGCTCAAAGTGATGTTTTGGAATATATTTAAATGTGAGAGGGAATGTGAAAAACAACCTGGAAGTGGCCCACATCGAGTTGTCAATGGCATACTTAGGTTTTGGATGAAGTCAAGAAGATGTGACCCAGGAAATCACTGTGACTTAGGCTGTGTGCACACTATACCTTTAAAGCACATTGGAACACATTCTTTCCCACAAAGAATTCTGGGCCCTGTAGTTTGCCCATCACCGAATTACCATTCCCAGCAACCCTTATCAAACTACAGGGCCCAGAATTCTTAAGGGGAAGATGAAAGGTATAGTGTAGGGGTAACCAATATGTTGACACTGCAGGATTATGACTCGCATGAGCCCCTGCTCTCATGGCTAGTGGTCAGGGATGGTGGGAGATGTAGTCCATCAACATTTGGATTGCACCACATTGACTACCTTAGTATAGTGTGTACAGAACTTTACTGAACGGGAATACAGTGGTACCTCAGGTTAAGTACTTAATTCATTCCGGAGGTCTGTTCTTAACCTGAAACTGTTCTTAACCTGAAGCACCACTTTAGCTAATGGGGCCTCCTGCTGCTGCCGCACCGCCGGAGCACAATTTCTGTTCTCATCCTGAAGCAAACTTCTTAACCTGAAGCACTATTTCAGGGTTAGCAGAGTCTGTAACCTGAAGCATATGTAACCTGAAGGGTATGTAAGCCGAGGTACCATTGTAACTGCCCAATGATGCTTAAATTAACCTGTTTTCCCCAGGAACAGCAGGGAGAACATTGTCTCGTTGCCACTCTTGTACAGCTGATGTTCTGATCTGGCTCCATCTTGACCTTTTCCTCAGGCAGCAAAACATCTTGGGCTAGTTCTGTAATTACTGTTTGCAACAGAGTGCTTCAGAACCAACACTGTGGTATATGGCTGTCACTTTGGATGCAATATGTCCTTATGTGCCAAATTGTCATTCTTTTTATAATATCAGAGGGGCCTAGTGGTACTCAGAAGGAGCTGTCACACTGCTGGATCTGCTGGTGCTGCCTGTAACTATGTAAGAAGTAAACCTTTCTGCCTTGGGAGGGTGGGAACTCAGAGGCACGATTAAGGCAGGCAACCCACTCCAAATGGACCCTGGTGCAATCCTGATTCTGCTCGCAGGAATAGAGCACGGACATTTGCCTATGTGGGCACCACTGCCCAATTTATTGCATTCTCAATGTCCAGTTTATTGTAGTCTTAATGGAAAAGGTTTCATTAAGTTTTAAAACCAGCTTTAAAACCAGGGTCCTAATGGAGAAACAGGCCGGTGGGGGGGGGGGCAAAGTCATTTGAAAGGAGTTCCATTTGTAAATAAATAAATAAATAAATAAATAAATAAATAAATAAATATCTATCAGAAAATAAACACAGATGACATTTAGAAATTATACAATATTCCTACAAGGCCTGGCAATTATGTGCCAATGAATACATCAGAAATACAAACAAATGAAAACGAACAGGTGCAAAATTCCCTTTTTTGACAGGGCGAGCATAGTTTTTTTCTTGTATACTTATTTTATCTCGCTCATTAGTCACAAAAGTGTACATTACCAGACAACTACTGTAAAATTAAATGAGCAAATCATTACCGCAGAGGCATCCTTTTAAGGAATCCAAGAAGGTTCAGTCCACAATTTTAACAGGTTTCACTGCTTGATGCTTTTTTTGCAGTGGCTAAAGAGTGCGTGTCACTGGACAAATTTTCACTAAGGTTAAAAATAAAATAAATATTGCAGTTAATATATGCAAGAGCCAGCTCTACCATTGGGCAGAGTGAAAAGCATTTGAGTATTATGAAAGGGCAGTGAAATGTTAGCTATGAGAATTTCTGTCTCAGTACATTTCTGCTTCCTGAGATGGTACCAAGATACCTTGGGTACTATGCACCTTGGGAGAGCAGAAGCAATCTTTTCTGCTCCATCTCAGGAAGCAAAATGTCTTGGGCCAGCCCTGATGTAGGATGAATGTGCACAACCACTTGTAAGCATGCACATTCACATACATAACATGTGCAAATAGTGTGAAAAGGAAATTTCATACATCTTGGAGAGGGCATGCACATTGACATAAAGTGGTTTTTTTTTTAATGCATTGCATGGTCAATATACATAATCTCCGTGTTCATGTTTTTTTTCTTTAAAAAAGATGATTGATTCATTAAAGGTCAGAATATATGAAAAAATGTTAAAGTTGAAAGTTGAGTCTTAAGTCAGCTCCTATTTATCCTCCCGAAGGAGCCTAGGACTTCTTAGTGGTCTCTGACACACAGCCAATATCTCCCTTTAAGCACAAAGAAAAGGTAAACTGAATTAGAATAAAGAAGCTTATTTCTGAAATATGCTAAAACAAAGATAGTGATAGAAGACTCACATTTTCATGAATTCAACAGCACCCTTATAAATGCAGAGCCAACATAGTTACTGCAATTCCATAGGGGCACTGAAAGCTAGCAAGCTTCATATTAATTCTCAACTCAATCATTCCTAGTGTCTTTCAACATTGTGTCTGTTTAGAAATGATGGCCCCAGTGCAACTCAGGTCACAAGCAAGTAAGTGCTTATCTTTAAGCATTAACACACAGACACACACACACACACACAGAGAGAGAGAGAGAGAGAGAGAGAGAGAGAGAGAGAGTCGTCTCTGGACATTTCAGTGTGTCTGGGATGAGCATTGCATATGCAGATGTGCCCCTAGATGTTTGTGTTGTTGTTTTTTTGCATTCTCTCCAGCTGTGTGAACAGAAGCCTGCCTTTCTCACATTGTTCTGTCTTGCTGGACAGCTATTTTGAATGAGAAGGATCTATGCAACTTGGTCGATGGATAAGCAGGATGCTGCACTCAACATTTGGGGTTCCCAACTAATTGCACATACATCAGGATCAATTTTTGAAAGTGTTTTTGTATCTCTTGAAGTGGTCCATTGGATTTCTTTCCAAACACTAGTGAAGTTAAGAGCAGACAGACATGAATTCTCACCAGGGTATGCACTGGAGTCAAATTGTCTCAGCTGTTAAACAGTCAATTGTTCTCTGCAGTTATAGTGACTCAGTGTGATTGATTTGCAGATACGGTACATGGTTTGGATAGCACAGTGTTGTCTGTAGCCAGGTCTTCAACAAACTTGCCATAAATGCTTCTTCCTGAACTAGGGTCTTTGAGTTCAGGCATCTTCTAGCATTGATGAGTGTTAAGAGGGTGGGGAGAAAATAGCAACCCTACTGCCCCTCCCTCTCCATCTTACTTGCCACTCAGTGATAGCAATGGCCACTCCTTAACATGTACCACTGTTGCTTGATGGTAAGCAAGAAGGAGAAGACAGAGAGGACAGCCCAGCTTGCTGTTCATGCTATCATACTTGCTGTGTCCCTAGCTTCCAGGTGCCGTTCCACATCTCAAGGCAGCAAGGAACTGTTAACTGAGAATAGATTTTGTCACGTTGAAGAGTTTTAAATGTTCATAAATATTAATAAAATATATTCATTCTGATGACACAAGATTAGACTGTGATGAAGGTGCCCTTTCAGATCAACTGATTATATAAACACACCACTCACTCTTTTTTGTGCCTTATATTCTTTCTGTGGGTTTTATTATGGCTAGGGGCTTCAATGACTGGAAGCAGCCTGTGCTACTCTGGACTTCTGAGAGGTCCTCCCTAGCACTTTGACTTATAAAAAAATGTCCAAGTTATGTTGTTCCAAAGTCTTCCATGATCCTTTCAGTTTAGAGAATCCGGCTGCATTTTATTGAAACTCCTGCCACATACATACAGTTGTATTAACCACATTTATTAACACAACAAAGCATATGCAACATGAGCCAGGAGGCAACTTTCAAAACACTGAAAGAAGTTATCGCACATCTACAGCCTAAGATTCAAGTTATCATTCTTTTAGTACCTTTATTGAAAAGCTGCAGCTTATATTAACTTTTGATACTGGTATCCACCATTTCTGTATTGACTGTGCCCATTTATGAAAACCCAGTTGGCCAACTTTGCCATTTTGAAAATATAGCCCACAAGTGTTGCAAGATGACATGTCTGTTGTTTGAAGTCTGCAGAGCCTTTGACACTCTTCCAGCTTGTCTTTGGAATATGTTTTATAAAATGTTTGCTCCAGCCAGTTTCTCTCTTCTCTTCTCTTCTCTTTCTCTTTTTCTCTCTCTCTCTCTCTCTTTCTTTCTCTCTGTGAGGTTCACATGTTGACTAATTTAAAGATTCCATAATAACTGTTTGGCATACCCTACAGGCAAAGGTCCAGAAACCCTTTTTGCTGGCTATAACCTCAATGACAATGAATGGCACACAGTACGTGTAGTTCGAAGAGGAAAAAGTTTAAAGTTAATGGTGGATGATCAACAAGCCATGACAGGTAATAATGAATAATGGTTGCTTATTTATCAGATATCTCCATTCAGTACAGATTTGGCGATGTTGGCTGTGACCCAGATTGTCCCATTTGCCTACCTGACACAACGATCAGAAGAGTCTTCGTCAGCTTCTGGTTGAACTGCACTGATCTAACAGGCCAGTGGCTTCCATGCCCTCTAATTCTGAGGATCACTGCTTACTGCTCTGATCCTAAAGAGGGCTATGGTTAAAGGTGGAAGATCTGAGGAAGGGGGGAGGGACCAGCAAGATGATAGATAGATAGATGATAGATAGATAGATAGATGATAGATAAGAAGAAGAAGAGTTTGGATTTGATATCCCGCTTTATCACTACCCGAAGGAGTCTCAAAGTGGCTAACATTCTCCTTTCCCTTCCTCCCCCACAACAAACTCTCTGTGAGGTAAGTGGGGCTGAGAGACTTCAAAGAAGTGTGACTGGCCCAAGATCACCCAGCAGCTGCATTTGGAGGAGTGGAGACGCGAACCCAGTTCACCAGATTACGAGTCTACCACTCTTATCCACTACACCACACTGGCTCTCATAGATAGATAGATAGATAGATAGATAGATAGATAGATGATAGATATTGATCAACAGACAAAAAGATGGTGGAGGTGGGAATGTCTGCAAGCAAGAATTTTGAGGAGGGGGTTTGCTCTGCAAACATAACATCAGCAACTATCAAGAAAGTCAATATTACATAAGCCACTTTCAGAGAGGCCAAAGATTAGATCTATGGATTCGCATGTGTTGAAGGTGGTCTCAGTTATGCTGCAGTACAGGTAATGAAGCTACTCCACACAGTGTTGGAGTCACCATGGTAATCTCCCTGTGCATTGCTCCGACCTTTTGGGTCAGCTTCTGCACCCACACTTCGTGACACTGTATCTCCAAACATTGTTCATCCCAGTGGGTTTTATCCAACAAAGTTGTCCCATTAGCACAAGGACTTCTGCCCCAGGAGCACAAATCTGCCCCAGAGTGTTGGGATAACCACCAAGACAGATTGGGGCATGCGGAGAAGGGAGTGGAAAAGGAATCCCCATTAATTAGGTAGAAGCCTCTGCACTGAAGGGGTGATCTCATTGAATACAACCCAATGTCTTGCTTTTGAATGCTCAGACTGAATGTTCACCAAAGTTTCGGTGTGAACCATGGGAAGGTATTTTCTCTCTCCCGGTGGTATACATTTTGGTTGGCTCATGCTCATTGCCCGAGACCCTGGGAACTGAGCATCGACTCAATGCTTACTTTTCTGTTTCTGACACTAACTTCTCAAAATTGGTTTTCATTCAAAGGTCAAATGGCTGGAGATCACACAAGACTCGAATTCCACAACATAGAGACGGGGATCATAACAGAGCGCCGCTACTTGTCCTCAGTCCCCTCCAACTTCATTGGCCACCTGCAAAGCCTCACCTTTAACGGCATGGCGTACATTGACTTGTGTAAAAACGGGGACATTGATTACTGTGAGCTCAATGCCCGCTTTGGCTTCAGGAACATCATCGCAGACCCGGTCACCTTTAAGACAAAAGCCAGCTATGTTGCCCTGGCCACATTGCAAGCTTATACCTCTATGCACCTGTTTTTCCAGTTCAAAACAACGTCGTTGGATGGGTTAATACTCTACAACAGCGGAGATGGAAATGACTTTATCGTGGTTGAGTTAGTGAAAGGGTGCGTACAAAACTCACAACACAACAATACAGATTATATTAACCATGAAAGCTGAGTGGAGCTTCCAGATTCAGGGGGCAGGGTGTTAGAGTAGACTGACCTCTGGGTCTGATCAAGCAAATTGACTGCTCTTATTTCCCTTAAAATCAGACAGCTATTATTATTATTATTATTATTATTATTACACTCTTCACCCTTAGGGCGGGGTTAATAATAATAATAATAATAATAATAATAATAATAATTTATACTACACCTATCTGGCTGGGTTGTTAAAGACAGCTTATAATCACAGAAAAAAGGTGGTCATGAAAATACACATCTCAAGTGTCAAAAGCCAAGTGAGTTGTGCTTGACACTTGCAAAAACCCATAATAGATGGGCGTCAGCACCCAACTAACACCTTGCCTACTTTACAAACTCAGGCTTCTTAATGGCAGATTGTGTATATTTTGAAAGAGAGCTATAGTGCTTCCCATACCTCTCTCCCAACATTTTTCCTCTCTCAACATTTAGCTAAGACCAGGTCCCCTGTATATTCCCCATTCTCATCTTACTATCTCTTGCTCAAAACAAGGCCCAAGGTTGGTGGATGGGGACATATTTGTCCCCATGAACGAAACAACATTGCTCAAAAGGTTGTATGTATACCTTCTGACCTAAAGTCAGCTGCCCAAAGTGCCGTGGCAAATTGGGCCCTTCACAACCTAGAAAAGTTGTGAAGGATATTGTCTCAGAAGTCTTAAGAGGTGCAATTTCTGCGCAGTGGGCAGTGAGGAAGAAAAGAGCGCTTGTTCAATATTGCCATGTATCATCATCCCCATCACAAAATTTATTACCTGCCCTTCAGCAGCAGACCAGCAGGACTTGTTACAATAATTTAAATATCAGTATTAAAAAAACCCCACAGTTAAAACAAATCACAACCATAGAAATAGGAAGGGCGGTGCTCCTCAAAAACTCAGGTTTATAGATTTAAGCATTTAGAAGTTACTACCACTCTCCTTCCCCAAGGAACCCTGAATAAGAGGGCAGGAACTCCAGCAAACAACTCCCTACAATCAGGAGGAAGCCATGAACTAGCATAAAATGGAGGTAAAGGTAAAGGGACCCCTGACCATTAGGTCCAGTCGTGGCCGACTCTGGGGTTGTGGCGCTCATATCGCTTTATTGGCCGAGGGAGCTGGCGTACAACTTCCGGGTCATGTGGCCAGCATGACTAAGCCACTTCTGGCGAACCAGAGCAGCACACGGTAACACTGTTTACCTTCCCGCTGGAGCAGTACCTATTTATCTACTTGCACTTTCACGTGCTTTTGAACTGCTAGGTTGGCAGGAGCAGGGACCAAGCAACGGGAGCTCACCCCGTCGCGGGAATTCGAACCACCAACCTTCTGATCGGCAAGTCCTAGGCTCTGCGGTTTAACCCACAGCGCCACCCACATCCTATAAAATGGAGAGGTAGCATCAATATGGTCTTAGAGGATTGGGGGTTGGTCCACTGGGGCAAATGGGGCACTCCACCAACTGCACTTATCTATCTAGGGATGTGGGTGGGGCTGTGGGCTTGCTGATTGGAAAGTCAGCGGTTCAAATCCCCGTAACGGGCTGAGCTTCTGCCAACCTAGCGGTTCGGAAGCACAGTGGTGCAAGTAGATAAATAGGTACCCCTGCAGTGGGAAGGTAATGGTGTTTCTGTGCACTCCAGTTTCCGTCATGGTGTCCCGTTGTGCCAGAAGCAGTTTAGTCATGCTGACCACATGACCTGGAAAGTTGTCTGTGGACAAATGCTGGCTCCCTCAGCCTGAAAGCGAGATGAACGCCGCAACCCCACAGACACCTTTGACTGGACTTAACCATCCAGGGGTCCTTTACCGTTTACCTTACTTATCTGTCTGCACTTATCCAGCCCTACCTGCCTGCCTTTTTACTTACAACCCATCAAGGTGTATCATTGGCTCTGACACAACCTATTGTTGGCCCCTGTTCCTTCTGCCCGGCCAGTTCCAATGGACACCACCCTCCATTGTCTTACAAGATAGGCAATCTGTCATTTTTTGTGTATGTTTACCTATAGGGAGTTTTGTATGGGATGTTGTTATACCATTCCCCAACCAGCCTTATAAAAATTTTCCTGCTGTTGCAAGTTACACCTAGGAAGACATCAGCTGGCTGAAGACCTTCTGAATTTTCAAAAAGTTTAAACGAAGCGATGCATGAGGATGAAGAGCTGTCAGTTTCATTCATTTACTTCTTCCAGGGGGAATGAAATCATTTGGCTGTTTGTTTATTTATTTTTGCTCCCTGTTTTCAGGTATTTACATTACGTGTTTGATCTGGGAAACGGTGCAAATCTTATCAAGGGAAGTTCCAATAAACCCCTGAATGACAATCAGTGGCACAATGTGATGATATCGCGGGACACCAATAACCTCCACACAGTGAAGATTGACACAAAAATCACAACGCAGAGCACAGCAGGAGCAAGAAACCTCGATCTCAAAAGTAAGTGTCATTGCTATTTATAGAAATAATCTGCTAGGAGGACAGGCTACAACGTTGCATTTTTGATGCGCTTTGCACATTTGTAGGAAACGTAGAGAGATATGCTGTATTTATTTACTGGGCCAACTCCGGTGGCAAAACACCTGCAAACCTGTGAGCTGCAGAACATTATTCCAGAGGCATAAGTGTACAGAGGAAAATGGATCAGGTGTGGTTATAAATTCTGCTTTGTAGCCAGGCTGTGGGATTGATTTCTGGCAGGGGGGAACAGCTTGGTATTATATGGATCTGCTCTAGCTGCTGCAGGTAGCACAAACATCACTGTGCCAAACGGCAGCCAGTATTTGTCTCTGTTCTCTCCTCCGTGGAGACCCAAATGTGAAAATGTCACTGAATAACTGTGTCTTATCAGTTTCCCCCAGTGAACACAGAATATTCCTCCTGGCAGAGAGCAGTCCCAAATAGGCTGCAAGTTGGGGAAATATTCTGATTGGTGTGTGTGTGTGTGTGTGTGTGTGTGTGTGTGTTGTGTGTGTGTGTGCCCATTCATTTGCACAAGGAACAAATTAGTTGCATCCTAGAAAATCTCTGTTGGGGAGACACCCGCATCTCCATGGTTACAGCCCGCATCTCCATGGGTAGATCCTGGGAGAAGTTTCTGGAGCTTATCATTTTGTATAGGGAAGAAGAAACAGTTTCACCCTAATAAGAAAGGGTGCTCACAAATGTGGTTGCCCCTGTTCAAATGATGATGATGATAATAATAATAATAATAATAATAATAATAATAATAATTTTTATTTATATACTGGCCATGTGGCTGGGTTTTCCCAGCCACTCTGGGCAGCTCCCAACAGAATATTAAAAACACACTAAAACATCAAAAATTAAAAACTTCCCTAAACAGGGCTGCCTTCAGGTGTCTTCTAAAAGTCAGATAGTTGTTTGTTTCCTTGACATCTGGTGGGAGGGTGTTCCACAGGGCAGGTGCCACTACTGAGAAGGCCCTCTGCCCGGTTCCCAGTAACCTCACTTCTTGCAGTGAGGGAAACGCCAGAAGGCCCTCGGAGCTGGACCTCAGTGTCTGGGCAGAACGTTGGGGGTGGAGACGTTCCTTCAGGTATACAGGGCCGAGAAAATGCACTGATCTAATGTTCACATGCAGGATCAAAATGTGCCTCAGTCCTCTGTATGGTGTTCCTTCCCCTCCCCCTTTCCCAAGGGAAGGTGGTGACAGTTTGCATCCTTTAGGTCCCGGGAGACCATATTGCTTCCTGCCAGGGATTACTAGACCCAGAATTCCTGGTAGGGAAAAGTTCCTTGGGAAGTGCATGTGGATGGCAAAGAGCAAGCTATTATTCAGAAGTAGTGGTTTGATTGGGAACTGGAGGTGCTGCAGAATCTTATCAAGGATTCGTCAGCGAGAAGATCGATAAAAGGCAACAAGTTTCCCTGAAAGACTGCAATGCAAGTGCATTATCTGCCATCAAGCTATATTTCAGATTGCAGTCTTTCTTCCTTTACCAGCATTTGCTGATAGTTAACAAAGATTCTGAGCTCCCCAGGGACACAAGCCATTGTTAGGATATCTCTGCTGATATTTCTCGTAGCTGTGTAGGGTGGCAGAAATTTCTATGGAAATAAAAAGGAGAGTTTTTTGCTAACCTCCACTCATATGGTGGGCTTGTGATGCAGTTTGTATCGTGCCTTGCTAGTGTGTGGTAGATCGGATACATAGGAAATTAAGCATCCGTTGCCTTATGTTCTAACTTTGTAGATAGAATAGCAGCATACACCCCCCCACACACACAAGAGGTACCTACAGATTTATTCTGGTGGTAGTGGGGATTGTGTGATTTGCTAAAATGTTTTAGCATCCTTTCCATTACCAAAGGGGAGTTCCATCCCCAAAGTTCACTCAGTTTTACCAGTACAGTGGTACCTCGGAAGCCTAACGGAATCCATTCCAGAAGTCCATTTGACTTCCAAAATGTTCGGAAACCAAGGTGCAGCTTCCGATTGGCTGCAGGAAGCTCCTGCAGCCAATCGGAAGCTGTGGAAGCTGTGGAAGCCAGACGTCTGGGTTCCAAAGAACGTTCACAAACCAGAACACTCACTTCTGGGTTTGTGGCATTCAGGAGCCAAAACGTTTGACTCGCAAGGTGTTCAGTATCCAAAGTCCGACTGTATTAACATTCACCACCATCAGCAAACATCTTTGGCTCCGCTACATTTTTGGAATGAGACTTGAGACATGGTGAAATTGGTTCCATTTACAAAGTACAAAATGGCCAAGTTGCCTACTTTCAGTAGGGTAGTATGTATACAAAATAAATCCTACCCACATGCCTTATGCCCACTGACTTCTTTCAAAAGTTACTTTGCACAGCCTACTTCCTGCAGTCATCACTTGATCACAGGAAGTTGTGTGGCTGCGTGATCTCTATAGGCAGTGCTGCCATTGGGGATGTGCTTGAATGAAAGTACATGCACAAACAGTGGCTTTATAATCAGTTAAGATCAGGCATAGGCAAACTCGGCCCTCCAGATGTTTTGAAACTACAATTCCCATCAACCCTGACCACTAGTCCTGTTAACTAGGGATGATGGGTGTTGTAGTCCCAAAACATCTGGAGGGCCGAGTTTGCCTATGCCTGGTTAAGATCAACTGTTGGCATTGCAAGAAGAGTTTCCAGACTGGAAGCTCAATGCTGTGTGAACTCTGTGCTGCTATGAGGAAGCAATTTGTGATTAAAATAATAAAGAAAATTTGCCACTGTTTTCATATGAATTTTTCCTAATAAACACATTTTTGTTTGCAGATTTGACTAATATACAAATTCTTGTAAGCAGTTTTCCTAAGTCTTTTGGAAAATCTCTCCAAAGTTTGGAGGTTGTTTGCTCACCTCTACACAATTTGGTTCAGCTGAAAAAGTTATCCCCATGTTTCTTTTTCATTTCCAAACGCTATACCTGACTTTACAGATACCATGCTTAGTAAAAGCACTAGAGGGCACCATTATGTCACAAAATATCCTTCCTGGTGCAGTCTCAGGGAAGAGAAGGGGTGGGGGGTGGGAATCACGCTGCAGTTCAACTCCGCTGAAATATCCAGCCTAGTTCTTTCTGTTTCCTCCACGTTCCAAATTCTGTAATAATAACCCTTCCGTGCAAAATCTTTCCCACAGGGTTTCTAACCTTGAGGCTTCTAACAAAAGCACTAAAACAAGCATATTGACATTTTAAACTAGGGAGTGGAAGTGTAAACACTTGTAGCGGTCGTCTCTCCTGACTGGCCTCGTTGAGACAGATTTGGGGGACGCGGTGCCTGTGATTTCAGATGGCATTTGAAGTTATGACCTTTGCAGGGGCAGTATTTCTTTCTTCTGTCTTACTGCATGCAGAAACCTCTGACATAACCCAAAATGCAGGCAAGGCTCCCCTCCCACCTCCCAAATTCCTCTTCTATTTTGTAGAAGGTGTTTTGTATTTATTTCTTTTCGTTTCCCCTTCAGATTTTTATTCTTATTCTCCTTTCCTTTGTCTGAAAAAGGCCTCTCGTAAAACATAATAATAATAATAATAATAATAATAATAATTATTATTATTATTAATGTGTACCCCACCCATCTGGCTGGGTTTCCCCAGCCACTCTGGGCAGCTTCCAACAAAGATTAAAAATACAGTGGTACCTTGGGTTACATACGCTTCAGGTTACAGACTCCGCTAACCCAGAAATAGTACCTCGCGTTAAGAACTTTGCTTCAGGATGAGAACAGAAATTGCGCAGCAGTGGCGCAGCAGCAGCGGGAGGTCCCATTAGCTACAGTGGTGCTTCAGGCTAAGAACAGTTTCAGGTTAAGAACGGACCTCCGGAACGAATTAAGTACGTAACCAGAGGTTCCACTGTACATTAAAATGTCACACATTAAAAACTTCCCTGAACAGGGCTGCCTTCAGATGTCTTCTAAACGTCAGGTAGTTGTTTATCTCTTTGACATCTGAAGGGAGGGCGTTCCACAGGGCAGGCGCCACCACCAAGAAGGCCCTCTGCCTGGTTCCCTGTAGCTTTGCTTCTCGCAGGGAGGGAACTGCCGGAAGGCCCTCAGCGCTGGACCTCAGCATCCGGGCAGAACGATGGGGGTGGAGACGTTTTATGTGTGCATGTGGATACCTACATACTTTTCAATCTTCCATGAACAGTCCCAGAATTCCGAAAGGCACCCCAGCTTCTAATTTGATCCCAGAATGTCCTGACTTTCACCAGTGCTGCTCCCACCGAGCTCAGGGAGGAGGATGTGGCGGTGGCGGTCATGAGACAGCATCCCGTTGCTTCTCTTTGGCCACCACTTCTGGTCTCCTTCCATGGGCGGCTCATGGCGGCTGCTGGAGAGCAGGTGAAGAGGAGGAGGAGGAGAGGTTTTGGCCACCAATGCCCCAGCCAGCCACCTCCGAGGAGTCTGTCTGCCTCCTCCCACTCAGCCACCCTACAGCTGAGAGGGAGGCAGTGGGCAGACCATTTGGGGCAGTGCAGAGCCTGCGGGTGCCCAAGCCACTGCATCACTCCCAGGAGAGACATGTGGCTTGGGTGCACTGCAGGCCCCGCATTGAGTGCTGCCCGGTATTTTTTCACCCCCCTCAATGGTGACACCTGGGGTGGACCGCCTGCGCCTCACCCCCTTCCTCCGCTCCTGGCCACAGCCCTCCGTGATGCATCAGCTCCCTGGGTATGAAGAAAAGGGAAGCAGAGTGGAGCACAAGGAATCTTGATTTTGTTTACAGTGGTACCTCGCAAGACGAATGCCTCGCAAGACAAAAAACTCGCTAGACGAAAGGGTTTTTTGTTTTTTGAGCTGCTTCGCAAGACGATTTTACCTATGGGCTTGCTTCGCAAGACGGAAACGTCTTGCAAATTTGTTTCCTTTTTCTTAACACCGTTAATACAGTTGCGACTTGACTTCAAGGAGCAACTCAGAGAACGCGGTGTGGTAGCCTTTTTT